TGCCCACTAGCTAATAGTGATGATGGTATTATATAGAGTAAATACCCAAAATGGTCCCTCGACTATAGCTAAATTCACAAATTGGTCCTTGACTTTCAATTTTAACCAATTAAGTCTTTAACTTTACAATTTTAACACGATTTGGTCCTCCGTCTATTTGACCGTTTGTTGACTGTGATTTTGAGGATATATATGTAATTTCATGGTCCATCGTCGTTTTTTTAAGGTTCCGGTTTCATTTCCAGACCTCACTGTTACATTTGAATCCACTGCCGAAAGCAATCTGCCAAATCTGTCGCCTTTCTTCATACTCCCTTTGCATTCAAAGTAGTTGAGTTCGTACCAGGGCAAAGAAGACGACGTGTTTCCAAACCGGTGCAGCGTCATCCTGGAGGCCTCCACGTGCTCCAACGAGAACTGCAGGTTCTTCTGGAGATCGTCGATGACAGCGCGGTCGCCGGCGTTGATGCATAAGTGTTTGAAGGCTTGTTTGAATTCGGGAATGTACGGTTTCCATTTGGGATTTAATATTTTCCGGTCGATTAGGGTGAAGAGGAAGAAGAGCTGCTCCGACGGCGGGAGAACGAACGGGCCGTTATGTTTGATTTGAGGGCTTCGCCGGCGATCACCATTAGGTATTTTGAGAGGTTGATTATGACTTTCCATTGCGGATCTTCCTGCCCGTAAACGCAGCGGTAGGCTTTATCGGCGGCGCGCTTGTGCGTGTGGACCACGGGCATGAGCGGTACTTGACCCGACCCGAAGCGCGCTTCTTGTTGGACCAAATCGTGTTAAAATTGCAAAGTTAAGGACTTAATTGGTTAAAATTGAAAGTCGAAGACCAATTTGTGAATTTAGCTATAGTTGAGGGACCATTTTGAGTATTTACTCTATTATATATTACCCACTACCCAGTCCAAGTCACATTGGGGACTTGGATTGGATCTTTTCCGCGGATCAGTTCTTAGCTATCTCATTTCATTTGTGTTGTTGCACGATAGTCCAGTTTGACATCTATATTTTCATTTCAAGATACCAAGTCCAACTTGATTTAGCCCAAAAAAGAAATGGGGGATTGTGTGGTTTTGCTATCATATGATTCATTGGCAAAACTCTTCGACAATAACCATTTTATTTTTTGGTACAAGGAAGATTATATCATTAAAGCCTTGCCTTGCTCAGTGTTTCTTTTTGGGACCACTGGACGTTATTATATTTCTCAAGAGTTGCTTAAATATTGAGCTTCCTGTGGACGTTTCCAGCGGCAATTCGGAGTGGTTGGTTGTGTTGGAAATGACCTTATTCCTCATGATCATATGTTGATCCTACTCCTTGCATCGCCTTTGCTTTGCCTTTTGGCTATGTTTTTCAGTATTATATGCAACTAGTATTTTCACCCGTGCGATGCACGGAATGGAATTGTTGTAATATATTAAGAATATTTAAATCGATATATAATTATTTAAGAGTTAATTTCATCAGAGGTCGTTTATTTTTCCTGATAATTTCAAATTTAATCCTAGACTATAGTTAGTAATTATTACAATTTATTCTATGTTACAACTCTTACGTTAATATTCTTATTATTATTATTAACACTTAATTACTTTTAGATATTATTATTACCACTTATATTATTATTATTATATTATTATTATTATTAGTTTCTTTTCAAGTACTGTTAGTATATAATGGTCGTGAGGCACAATAATAATATAACCATAATTAAATATTCTTGTATTGTATTCCGAAGTTAATGTCATTTTTGGTCCTAGACTTATTGAGGCATTGACACTTTTCATCCTCCATAATAAAAATTGACGCTCCCCAAAAATCGCATTGTCTGAGGTGTTGGAATGGCCGGTGTTGACTTCCTGGCTGCTGTAGCTTCATTCCCCAACCCGGATGATAAAATTCGGAGCACCAGCTTTGAGGTTCAAGGAGGTGGTAACACTCGCAATGCTTTGATAAAACCCGGATGATAAAATTCGTCTTGGTCTTAATCCAAGGATCATATCTAAGGTTGCTGATGACTCGCATGGCGAAAGAATACTTGCTGAGCTTGAAAGGGATGGTGTTGATACATCTTTTATGGTGGTGTCCAAAGGAGGAAACTCACCATTCACATATGTCATTGTTGACAATCAAAAAAAAAAAAAAAAAACTCGCATGCGCATTTTCACTCCAGGATATCCAGCCATGATATCTGAGGGTCTACATACCCAAATCAAAATTGTCTTCAGCGCTTGGAGTAAATATTGTCTACTTAGATGGAAGGCTGCATGAGACTGCTTTTGATTGTAGTGCAGGAGGCAAAGAGTAGGGGCATACCTATTATAGTTGATGTAGAAAGGTTAAGGGAGGGGTTGGGTGATATTCCTGACTTTGCTAGTTATGTTGTATGCTCGACAAAATTTCCACAGGCATGGACTAACGCCCTTTCTATTCCAACTGCACTTGTTTCCATTATCTTGAGATTGATGTCAAATGTAAAATTCGTGATTGTTAGTTGGGTGAAGATGGTTTCTTAATGTTAGAAAGGACTGAAGCGGATAACCTCGGTTTGAAGAAATGGATGTAGCAGTGACCAATGGATGGAGAAATACAAGGATTAGAACATAAAAAGACAGAAAAACCCTTCTAATTCACGGTCAACAAACGTCGTCATTGATGCAGGATCAAAACTGTCCAACGATCAATAACAGTGGCTACTAAATGACAATTTTTATTATGAAGGATGAAAAGTGTCAATGGCCCAATAAATCTTTGACCAAAAATGGCATTAACTCTTGTATTCCGTGAGTCACAATAATAATATAACAATAATTAAATATTGTTAAATTCTATATTCTTCTAGGATTTCTATTACCATCATTAATTATTCCCAAATTTACCATAATTAAATAATTTGACCAATTATAAAGAAAGATTATTAAATAATGCACGGGACAATTGTTTAATTAAAAATTTTAAAAATTCATTAATAAAACATAAGGTTCTCATAGTTTTTTCTTAGAAACTATTTAATAAAGTATTTTTTTTTATAAATTGGTGGGCCAAACCGCCTACGGCAGTTTGCGATGGATAGATCTCGAAAAAATACGTGATTTTAAAAAAACATTTGTCCAAAACAGACAACGGAGTCAAAAGTTATGCCTTGCCGAACTTTTGACACTTTACAACTTAAAAAAAATAAATAAAAATTAAAGGCCGGTTCAGCCGGCGAGGCGGCCGCTGAGGAGGCCGATTCCGGCCTTTCTCGCCGCGACCAGCGACACGATTTTTGCAACACTGATATATAAAATAGATATAGATTAGAATAAGAATAGTATTACACAATTTTATAATATTACAATAAAATTTTAACCCAGAATTATTGTAGAAATCAATATATTTTATTAGGAAGAGAGATTTTTTAGGAATTGGACGGGAAGTTAAAATTTAATCAGGATTTTGTTTTTATATATAGTATAGAATATAGATAGTATAGATTGTATTACACTATTTTCTAATATTAGAATAGAATTTTAACGCAGAATTATTGTACCAATGGGGAAGTAGAAATCAATATATTTTATTAGGAAGAGAGATTTTTTAGGAATTGAGCGGGAAGTTAAAATTTCAGAATTTTGTTTTTATATATAGTATAGATATAGATTTATATACAAACTCGTAGTTAGAGTTGCTTTACGAATTTTTCACTTTGGATCGGGAAATGTCGTGTGTATTTGTAAATTTGTAGGTACACACATATATAAAAATTAATAAGTGTAAATAAAGGTTATATTCTTTATTTATATCCATTTTTTCGTTACATTTTTCTTATACATTATGCTACAAGAGTTGTACTATACAATAATATTTTGGTGAAAAATATTCATACCGTTATAACTTCCGTTATCTTTTCCAATTATTGTTGTCATGTACATGCATCCACCATATATTTTTCTTATCTTCTTCAATAATAATAATATATGGACACTATATATTGAAGTACTATATAAGTTATTTCCTAAAATATAACCGAACCATGTATATGGGTCGAAGGTTAAGAACCCATACAACTGTACTATAGGAGATTAAGTGATCAAAGGGATGGTTTCTAAAGGGAAAAATGCACCATATTTATATTATTGAAGAATTTACGAATGATTGACAAACGTACGACATTGGACAATCTTCATTATTGGCCACAATGGTGTCCCTCTACTACTTTGCTTCTAGTGCACTTCCCATGTATAAGTGAGGTTCTTGCCCTTTAGTTCACAAGATCTTGAGTTGCTTGGATGGTTAACCCAGAAGTCATATGTTTGAATCTTGTTATTTACACTTGTTTTTTTAATATTTTACTCCATGCTTCATTCTTTCTTTAGCAATTTCTTTAATATTTTACTCCATGCTTCATTCTTTCATTGACAATAAAAATGGACGCCCCATTGAGCTAAGACCTATGTAGTAAAATGAGTCTCCGGGATCTCATATTCTCAACAATTATTATACAAAATAATATAAATATAAATAATATTAATATTGGACATCAATTTTTGCACCTTGCGCATAGAAAATAGTACTCCGTAGTATATATTATAACATTTGTCAACAATTTTGAATTAGGCAATGAACCAACTCTGTGGGCTGTTAATGCTTCTCGATCCAACAATGGGCTTCGGTCGCCGATTTTGATTTTTGACCAAAGAAATGTCAATACGCAATATATTATAGCATTTGTCAAAATTTTGGATCAGTATTCTCCTTCTGTCAATAGTGAAACACAAATAAACTTACTAATTATATCCTGAATATAAATTAATTATCATAAATTTAGACTTCAAATATATAGTATTCATGGCGATATATTTTTGATTATTTAACAATTAACTCTAATTAAAATAGTTGTCAATCGAAATTCTACGTATGAAACGTGATTTATTAGTATTTGTAGATTTGCGTGTAGTTATTGGGAAATTCGGGACTTCTAAGGTCTCACGTGACACTATATACGGTAATGGTATTGGTAAGACAAAGACAACTATGCTTCTGCTGACAAGGCCTTACCACTGATCTCTTCTCTTCATCTTCAAGCTTTAGCAATCGCCGTCGACACACCCATCTGCCACCGCTACCGCTACCGCTACCGCTACCGCCACCGTTACTGCCCAACTAGCTCATCTTCTTCAGAACATTAATTTGATTTTAGATCAGTTCGTGATTAGAGGAAGAAGCCATGGCATATGTAGATCACGCCTTCTCCATTTCCGACGACGACATCATGATGGAGACCTCTTACAACGTCAACAACCGGCCGCCGATAAAGGAGATCGCCCTAGCCGTTTCTCTCCTCGTCTTCGGTGTCCTCGCCATCGTCCTCGGTTCTTTCATGGCCGTCAACCAGGTCGGCGGCGACCGAGCTCACGGTACTCTTTTTTTCAATTTCCTTATTTTACTCTTTACTTTGCCTGCTTTCCATTTAATTCTCACCCTGCGTACTATTTTCCGGAAATAGATTTGTATTTGCTAATTGCTAGCCTAGGGTTTTGATATCCTCACTAATCTGGGGAAATATATGATTTTCGGTTGAAGAAAAGAATAGTAACTTTATCTTACAGATATTGCATACCGAGTAAATAATGATATTGGGGGTAAATCAGTGAATAATGCTAGTGAGCTGAAATTTGAACTACACCTCTAATGGTGTTTCTTTTTTAACAATTGGATTATACTACAAAGGAAAAATGATACTGCTTTTTATCTTTGTGAAAGTAAGGGATAAGTTTCATCATATTAGTGTTTATAGTTCTGCTTAATATTATGAAATGTAGCTATGCTTCTTTATTTTTTATTTTTTTAAAAAATAGAGCATCCACTTAGACAGTTTTTCAATAGTATATTGTGTCTAGAATATGCTTAAAAATTTCTAGAGCATAACCACATTTCAATAAAATAGAAAATTACCTTACTTGCCTAGAATAAAATAAAATGCCTTGATTCAATCTGCCAGGGAAATTACCATGCTGGCTTGCATGATGAGAAGAAATCAATATTTGGACAATGAATTGAGTTTTGCATAGTACTTTCATGTTTGGTAATCGGTATGACTTGAACACCAGTCTATTTGTAGCAAATTATTACTGCAAGGAAATAGAAAACAACACAAATCCCTTGTTTCTCTTGTTAGGACATGATAGTTTCTTATCACTACCAAATACATTTCTTCTTAAAAGAAACAGGAAGCAACACAGCTCCTCTGGCTTCTTTTAGGTAGTGTAGCTAGTATCTTCTTACTGTCAATTATACTTCTTGATGGTATTGTTGTTACTCTTATGGATTAATAAAAAAAACAAAAAAGGAAATATAGTTATCAATCCATGCCCTTGCGTGCTTAGGGTAGTGCTTAAAAATAGAGGATACAACATGTCAACATGTTTCAGTAAAATAGAGAAGCATGGGTCTGCAACATGTTTCAGTAAAATAGAGAAGCATGGGTCTGCTGTCCCCCTCTCTCCCTTCTTCTGTCTTCTTTGTTCATTTGCAGAGGAAAGTAACAACAAAAAAGTATTGCATTATTATTTGTTTGGATTAAAGAAAAATTAATAGTATTTGACCCATTTCAATATCTTACTATTAAAGAAAACTTTTCATATTACTTGTAGTCAAAGTTAAATAAAGGGGCATGCATTCATTACATTGGAAGTAAAGATTCTTTAAATGTTGGGAGATATTTAGAATTTTAGAAGTGTCAATGTGTCATTAGTTATCTCTAAATTTTCCATATTTATTATTAAAAAGGGAAAAGAGATCAATTGAAAAACTATTAAAAAAGAGTGCATTTGATAAGCCTCAATTTGAAGCTTCTGGCTTACAAGAGGTTTTCCTTCTTATCTAGTCTGAGGATCTTTTGTTAATGATTAATATTTGGCTGAAATTATAGCTTTTAGATTAGAAAAGCTTCAAATAAGTTGAGCTAAACATGTAAGAAGTGGGAAACTATAATTGAACCTCAACTTAGGAACCTTTCTTATGGGTTTCAGTGTATCTGGGTATAAACTGAATTTACATTGCACAAGACAAATACAGTCAACAGTACCTAAACCCAAATCATCAAATTAAAAGTAAGGCTATAAATCAGGATCCATTCCAGCTTCACTTATAAACTTACTTTGGCTGTAAATCAGGATGCAAACCATCCAACTAAATAATCAATAATGCATTGCTAAGTTGAATAGTGATTTGAAAAACTTTCACCCATTCTGAGCTCAATGTGACCTGGTCTGCTAAATGGCCTTGTAGTGACAGCATCTGCTTGCGGGGCTGAGCTAAGAGAGAAAAAGTTCTCTTTTAGGGCATACTAAGTACTAACATTCATTTTATCTGCATACAAACATTTTTACCATCTGTAGTTGTGCTTTTCTCTATTTGGATTATATTAGATAAATTTTTATGCTAATGCAACATGCAACTATTTCTGATTTCTGTTTTATGTATATATGTGGGTGTATAGGATATGTACCTACAAATATGGAGAAAATTTTTGTTTGGATTCTGGTTCCCACTGTAAAAAGATAATATGCCTTAACATACATCATTTCATAATTGATATGAAGTAATGTTTGTTTCTCTTTGACTTTGGGTTGTGTTTATAGGGCTGTTTTTTGCTATACTGGGAGGAGTTCTGTTTCTTCCAGGGTTTTACTATACACGGATTGCATATTACGCATACAAGGGTTACAAAGGTTTCTCATTCTCCAACATACCTCCCGTGTAGAATCAATCAGCCAGCCAGCAACACTTGTACCAGGTTCACTGTACAGATAGTCTCATTGTCTGCATGTTGCTCCTCTTCACACTGGGTCATGGTTGTGTTTCTTTCTGTTTAGCAGAGCTGTCTGTGTCAAAATATGATGATGTGATGTAAATAATGAAGTGAATCCCTCCGACAATAGACTACCCTTGTAGTAGCAAAAGCAAACTGTTGATCAGTCATCTTTCTGTTGAAATCTTGATCCTATTAATGCTTAATGTGCATCCCATAGCACTATAGGAGATTAGTCCAGGATGTGTCAAACTTGAAACTTGAAACTTGAAACTTGAGGGGTGTTTTTCCCCCCAGCCTGTGCTGTGCTAGTTAGAATTACTATTCCTCGTATAGACACTGTAGTGTGCATGATAAAGAGTTGTTTGATAGATATACATATACGCCAAAATATTGATTCGATCAAGTCTTGAAAGGGATCCATCCAATATTCAAATTGGGTTTGCCTGAAATCCAAGGATCAAGTCTGCCCACATTCACTCCAACTTACGACGTGTTATTATTATTATTATTTTTTAATTATTATTCCAGTTGTCTTGCTTGATGTTCATCTTAGTGTATTTTCATTGGTTTGATCTTGACGGGTATAATATCTACGATGAGTATGAACTGTGATAAATGGGATTAAAAGTAACTATTGTCTCTTTTCAATCAATTGTTATATCATGGACCATGGTTCACAGTGCATTGTGTAGTGTGTACCCTGATCCAATACACAGAATTTGATTTTATTAGGTACAAAAATCATGCTCATAATGCACATACACATCAACACAATATAATTAACATGAATTTTGTGCATTATGAACATAAATTTTGTGTATTATGTTAAATGTTTATGTGTCATCAGCTATATAATTCTGTACATTATAAACATGAATATTGTACTCTGTTTATTGAACACTATGGATCCCACGATATAAATTGCCTATATAAATGATTTGATTTTAATATTAGATCCATTAGTAACTTTTACGTATGTTATAATTTTTCAATGCTTAACTTTTTATTTTATCAAAAAAAATCACTTCAAATCTTGCCATATTGAAAATACGATGGAGGGAGTAAAATTTAATTCCAAAACATAATAATATATGTATAGTTTAATTATTTTTCAACTGATAAATTAATACAGTAAATTATACCCTCCTTAGTCCTTAACCAATGTGACCGAGTACGAAGTACGACCATCACGTCCAAAAGACCCAAACATTTCACCCCGTGCGTGCCTGCCTGCCACAATCCATTTTACGATTCACGACACGAATCCGATCTAAAAATGGGTTATTCTCACGGATCGGTTAACCCACGGATCCGTATCTTTGTCTGTGTTTGACCAACCCAACCAGGGCTTGTGTACACAGTTTCCAGAATTCCAAGTCATAGGGCTTGTGCTCTTTACTATCTGACTGAATTTATGAAGGGGTTTTTCAAGCATTTCACTGTAAGTATCCTGATTATTGTATTTTGACGCTTCTATTGCTAAAAAAATTTGAAATTTTGCTGATATGATCACCCATTTTGAAGCTTGGTGGGGTGAGGGGGTTCGCTGTGGGGCGTGGTACAGCACCCAATACCCAAAACCTTAAGATTGAAGGAATTAAAGACATCATAGCGGTTGCTTCAGGCAAAGGTGGTGTTGGCAAGTCCACCACTTCTGGTATTTCTGCATCCTATACACTTTGTTATGTTTCTTGGTTACAAATGATGTATTTTGTACTTCAATTGTTCCCACTTAAGATAATCTGAAGTTTAGTTAGCTAAATTGCAATTGTGCAGATTTTATTGCTAAAATTATACCTGAGTATTTGCGAATTCAGCTTTTGTACGTTAATTATATCTATCTTAGCAATGCTTCCGTGAACATATTGGTTTTGCAGTTAATTTGGCTGTTTCACTTGCCAATAAGTGTCAACTTAGAGTCGGGTTGCTGGATGCTGATATCTATGGGCCTTCAATTCCTATGATGATGAGACTCCATGGAAAGCCTGAAGTGAGTCAAGGTGAGGCTTTAAAAGCTCCCCCACCATTTTTTTTTTTTCTATCAAATTCATTATACCACTTAGTTATATGAGGTGAACTAAGAGTTAGTTCAAGATGAACAGCAAATTTGTATTTATTTAATCAGATATGTTTTAGGGAATTTAATTAAATCTACATTTAAGGCACTTTGAAACAGTGGTGAGATAGTAAGAGAGAGAGTAAGAATTCTTGCTGGTAGCAATGGCATAATAATCAATATTTCAACTAATGGAGGAGTACAAAATTCAGCTACTTTGTTTATTGTTTATGTGTTTCCCTTGCTATCTGTTATGAGCTTTCTCCTTCTGGTGAATTGTTATCATAGTTTGCATATTGTGCTTCTTCGATTCTCATGTTTTCACCCGCAGATAGGAAGATGATTCCAATTGAAAGTTATGGCGTTAAATGTATTTCAATGGGATCTCTTGTGGAGGAAGGTGCAGCAATCGTATGGAGGGGACCTATGGTATGCTTCTGCCCTCTACTTTAAGTAGGTATGATTAATACTTCTAAAGTTTGTGCGAGGTAGATTAGCTGTTGGCTGATGGTGATTGACCTGAATAGGGATAGTCATGAATTTTGATTTCTTAATCCATTCAGACCATTTCCCTTGCAGGTCATGAAAGCTCTTGAGCAGATGACTAGAGGAGTTGATTGGGGAATCCTAGATATTCTTGTGGTGGATATGCCCCCAGGTACTGGAGATGCTCAGATATCTATTTCCCAGAGGCTTCAGTTATCAGGTACTGGCTACTGAGTCTGACAGAATATATTAGAAATGCTGATGTACCTAAAAGATGTTGCAAGTTAGAGGATTAGCATGGGACACGCAGCCTCATTTTTTACACAAAATTTACAAGAGTTATAATAACATTATCCAATTGTCTATGTTCTATAAAGGGTTCTTCTTTCCTTTTGTTGTATAAAGATAATGTTTGCCTCAATAATTATAACAATTCCTACTCCATTGTCTTCTGCATTGAAGCTTTACATCATGTCACCCCTTCAGTTAAAGAATAATACCTTTTGGAATGTGTTAGGCTGCATTATTGATAAGTTTAGCCAGGTTATTTTCACTGCAAGTAATGTTTTCCTCTTTTTGATAGATATTTTATACAATTTCCAACTTTATTTTGAAATAGCTTTAGTCTGTATTTGTGTTGGTTAAAATTAGGCTATAATTGCCAAATTTTATGATAGGTCTACGAGTCTACACCAATATGTTGAGTTTCTTTAATATACTCTGCCGTGTATGTTTTGAAATAATCTAAAGCTGTTTGCTATTCCTGTCAGGAGGATTGATTGTTTCAACTCCTCAGGATGTTGCATTAATGGATGCTCGCAGAGGTGCTAAAATGTTTTCCAAAGTTAATGTTCCGGTATGATCTTTTGGTTAAGCTTGTATATGAGGTGGACGTGTGCCAGAATTTATATGTTTTTTTTGGAGAGGGAAAATTGTTTTAACTTATTCCAAATCTCACATTTACATGATACGCTGACAGATTCTAGGAATCTTGGAAAACATGAGCTACTTTAAATGCCCAAATTGCAATGAACCCTCATATATCTTTGGCAAAGGAGGGGCTCGTAAAACAGCTGACGAAATGGGCATGAAGTTTCTTGGTGAGGTATGCTTGAATTCAATGATGGGACTTAGATACCTTGACTCTCCATATATGTTTCAATTCATACGACCATATACATCAGACTTTTATTCAATCGACCCGTCATAAAATAAAATAGCTTAATTAGGTGTGAGGTGGGAGAAAATTGGTGATATGGCAGGGTTGTAATTTGGTTTCCTCTCCTCTCTGTCTTTATCTGGTTTGCCTGCCTCCCCATAAGTCAGTCTTGTGTGGGTATGCCGACATAAACATGAATTTTAATGCTCTGTAAACATGTGTGGATTACTCTAGTGTTTATAGTCAGTCAACTTACTATAGGATTACTATCTATACTGTTTTAGTAATAATGTCCACTTACTGTACCAGGTACCACTAGAAGTAGGGATCAGAAGTGGTTCTGATGAAGGTCTCCCAATTGTAGTATCAGAACCTGATTGTGTAGTATCCCAAGTGTATGGTGAGATTGCTGAGAAAGTTGTGAAAGGACTTGAAGAATTGGAGCAGGAGCAACATTTCCGACCAGAGATAAGTTTGTGATGTGATAGACACCAAGTGCAGACGTGAGGTTACGTGACTAATAATATTATTATGTCAAATCTCTAATTGGAAGAGGGTATGATGCTTCAAGCACCCGTATCTGATTGAAATGAACTCCCAGCTCTCTTCCCTTCTCAGATGCGAAGAAATGGAGCAATGTCAGCAGAAGTGGGAATATATTTTTGGTTTCCAGAGCGCAGGATTTTGTTTTAATTGACTGACATGACATCTAGAGTGTAGGAGGTTTTGGTTTGGTGCTTTACAGAGAGAAAAAGCATACTCCGTAGATGTTAAGACTTTAAAAAATTTCATTACTATTTGGAGAGCTACAAGTAGTTGAAATTTGAAGAGGAGGAGGGGATTTGATTTACTTGTCGTCTAATAAGCTGCCCAGCCGAAACTGAAATACATTAGCTGAAAGTGAAATAGAAAGCCGAAAAGAATGTTTCTTGCTCTATAAATTATGCATCAAATGAAATGAAGATTCGGTATTTGTAAACGTGGTCAGACCAAAGCTAGCTTGATTTCAACTATATAAATTTCAAATTTAAAAATTCGTACAATAGAAACAACTCCTTAATTAAAATGATAATTTGATTCATCCAAAAAATTAAAAATAAAAAGGTGATTCGAGAGTTTTTACTTGATAATAATAATCCATATATCATTTTTTCTTAAAAATATATATATATGTTTTGCGCCAAGTTTGTTGCGGAAGTTTCCCCATCCCCATATAATATAAGAAGAAGAAGAAGGCATTTTGACGCTCCATATCGATCGTCTGATAGATACCGGCGGCCAAAACTCCGAGGAGAAGTTTTGAGTTTGGTTGGAAAATGGCGGCGAGCAGTGGTGGCGAAGACATCAAGTTCAGCGTGGTGGTGAGCATGTTCCAGTGGATACACAAGAGCAAATCCAAGCCGCTAAAACAGTCCAAGTTCCGAAAGTTTCTGGACACTTTCTGCCGGAAGCCTCATGACTACTTCGCTGCAATGCGGCTCATCCTCCCTGGCCTCGACCGCGATCGCGGCTCCTATGGTCTAAAAGAGCACGTGCTTGCCACCTGCATCATCGACGCCCTCGGCATATCCCGCGACTCCGACGACGCCCACCGCCTCCTCAACTGGCGCAAGGCTGGCCCTAGAGCTGGCCTCAATGCTGGAAATTTCTCCCTTGTAGCCGCTGAGGTACGCTACCATTCCTTTCTTTTTCCAATTACCCGCCCTATCCTTTATCCTTTAAGTTTATATAAGGATGATAAATAAATTCGATTGATTTTTGGCTTTTATATGAGCTGCTGATGATGATGATGATGATTTTTCTTTCATTGATTATACCCGTTATCCAAGTTCAGGCATGCTACTCAACTCTTATTTGCCATGTGAGACAGACCATATACACAATATTACAAGTGGCCCGACTGATGTTCATGTTGTTCGCTTTTTGTTTTGGACCAACATATCCTCCTACCTATTCTAACTCTTCTCTCCATTTTTCACTTCTCTTTTCTGATTCTCTTTTTGCCTTTTCTTATTCTGTTGACTCCAAAAATCTGCAACTCCCACTTGTTTCACATATAAAATACTGCACTGCTTTTTTACTAAGTTTCGCAAGTCTTCTACATTTTTTAAATTGCTTTGCTCTTGTATTTAGTCTTTAGAAATTTCTGCTCCATAATCTCTTCCCGCAATTTTGTAAAATTCTCTTTCCAGTGAAGAATTTGTATAGCACTTTCTCCAGGGAACAATGAAAATTTTAATTCCTGTTTCTTCCCCACCGTTTGTTTACTTCAAAGTTTTTGCAAGATTTTCTCTGTCATTCTTTTGGAGCGAGTATGGAAAGGATGATCATGAGTTCGCGCACAAACTGAATCCTCTTTTTCAAAACATCTGTTTTTTAATTTTATAATTTCTTTCATTAATAATACTTGTTCTCAATTCATGAATAGGTCCTACAGCGCAGGCAGGGAGTGTCTTCTGGTGGGCTAACAATAAAAGAATTAAACGATTTGCTTGATGCCTTAGCTTCAAGTGTGAACAGGTAAGTCAGTGTAATTGCATGGCCTTTTATCCTATGTATGGTGTAAACTTAGAGACTCTTTGAATGATAATAAATGGCTTGTATACACACACTACTTGAAAATTGTGTGTTCTTGCACACATCATAAGATCCTTGCATAACTATTTCATTGATGTGCTTGTGTAATTTCTGAAAAAAATGTTTGCTTTTGCCATAATCTGCAGCATTTTTCTATTTTTGTTTTCAACTAAAATTTAAACATTACAGTCTTTTTTGTAACATTCTCTTATTTTCTGAAAACATTTCCAGAACTTTTTTTTTTTTTTTTCTTTGGAGGGGGGTGGGGGAAAGGTTATTATTTTTATTGTTTTCAAATTAGCAGTTATTCTCATTTTACTCATCATTTACCTAATGCTATACTCCAACCACCAATTCCCTCTTACCCCACCTCTTATGACTTATTCCACACACACCTTCCCAGTGTAACTGACCCCTACATTGATTCTGACCACATCCGCCTCAATTTTGATCCTACATAACATTGATTAACTACCTTACCTGACCTGGTGTACCTTGGCTGCCTACCCCATCCTTCTCATTTAACCACACAACCTATTGTTGATCCACTTCAATATCTCCTTGACATCAGCTAACAGCCACACTTACCACCCTGCACCGTCAACTTACTTTAGATCCATTGAACCTCAACCTCCGGTTCTCCACCCTACCTTTCATCCTATCCCATCTTCACCAATCCAACCACCACTTGTGAACAAAGCATCATACTAAAAATAAGGAAAATGACACTTTTAGTTTCTTAGTTGTAACCATGGTGTAAATTTAGTCTCTCAATTATTCATAGTGTATATGTAATCCCTAAGTTTTTGGCAAAGTGGAAGACTTGGCCTTGCATTAGGGTTTCATTAAAAACCCTAGGGACCAAATTTGCCATTTTACTAAGAACTTAAGGATTAAATCTATACCATGGTCCCAATTGAGGAACTAAAAGTGCAATTTTCTCACAAAATTTTTTATGTTGTTATTATTATTATTACTATTATTACTATTATTTGACCAAAAACAAAAATGTTAGGAAAATGCCCCTTTATTTGTTGTACTCCACCTTGTTTCTGATCTTAAACAGTAAACTCATAGAAAAAGTAGAAGTTTATTCCTTAAAGTTTGTGTTCTTTTATTATATTGACACAAGTAGTGCTGTAGCGATATGAATTAACAAAAAGATCTGTCTGAGTTTCTGGACTATCTGTATATACTTTATCTCCAAACATAATAATCTGGCAGAGTGATGGCACAAATTTATATTTGTTGTGTCCTCTAAAACTCTGTTTGAGGCATTCAGATATGGATGCTTCACATATTTCCTTTTGTTTTTTATGCCTTTTCATGTTGGCTGCTACATTATGTATGAAGGCGTAAAAGACTTCGGGGAGTTATTTAGTATACCATCTGGCCAATTCATGCTTCACAGGTTAATATAGCTACACCTTTGCAACAGATCTGAGAAGACTACTGTTCTTTCTGACCTCATTAGGAGAACAAATGCTCAGGAAATGAAGTGGATTGTTATGATAATTCTCAAAGGTTTGCTGATTCTGATAACAATTCAACGACTTAATAATTGTGTTTAGAACTCGTATCGTATATTATTGTTCATCTATTAACTTTTCCCAATTTTTTTCTCCAGATCTTAAGTTGGGAATTAGTGAAAAAAGCATCTTTCATGAATTCCATCCAGATGCAGAAGACTTGTTCAACGTTACTTGCGACTTAAAACTTGTCTGTGAAAAGTTAAGAGATAGAAATCAACGGCATAAGCGCCAGGTTGGTTTAGGATTTAGGATTCAATTATTATGCAATCTTTACTAATATATGCTATACTATTGGTTCAACCACCATGGCACCATGTCATCTTATATTATGTGCCATGGCATGCCAAATTGCCAATCTGTGTTTTTAAATATAAACAATCTGTGCAAATTATAGTTTCTTTATTGTAAATTCTGATATATTACTCTTTTCTTTTGTTGAAGTAACGGTATATCGGATATAGTTTAAAATGTAGGATAAACTCATCAATTGATGTGGGCATACAAGTGAATTTAATGTGCATTTTACCCTTCTAAACTCCATCAAAATGGACTACGTAATAGAATAATTTTGATCATGGTATTGCAGAACTATTTGTTTATATTTAAGCTAATGTTATCATTTCAACTATATGATTGTTCAGTTGTATAATTAGGTGACCAATGATTGGTAGATAAGCTCAACTACCTCACCATCACTCAACTAGGTATTGCTTTTGTATAAGTTGGAGTACAATTGATTACATTTGTAACAACTTGGGCATGATCAATATTGTATGCTTCAACTTAAGGGGAAATGTTGAACATGTGAGGGAGTACCAAGTGGGTTGCTACAGTAATTCAAGGGACATTTACTTGTATAATTGTGTGTATAAGTAGATTAGATCTACACGCCTCAGTTGGATTATGAAAAATACAATACATTATAGTATTATACTCTATTTTCTATCCCAAATAGCATTTGGTGGACTTATAACTTATAACGATGGTGATCTATATAAACTAGTCAATCTTTGTTTTCACCACCTTTTTGTTCTTGCCTTTAATGTGTATTTTACAACCAAATAATTAATGGCCATAGGCTAACAGTATATTCCACCTTTGCAGGATATTGAAGTTGGAAAAGCGGTGCGCCCTCAACTAGCTCTTAGGGTCAGCAATGCAGCTGCTGCATGGAAGAAGGTCCTTTTAATTAGCTTTTTTTTTTTCCTAGCCTTCCCCATATAATTTTTCTAGTTCTCTTTGTTTAGTGTGTTTTTTTTTCTGTGGTTATCTAAGTAAGTATCATCTGCTGCATGGAAGAAGGTCCTTTTAATTAGCTTTTTTTTTTTTTTTTTTTCCTAGCCTTTCCCATATAATTTTTCTAGTTCTCTTTGTTTAGTTTTTTTTTTCTGTGGTTATCTAAGTATCATCTGCTAAACACCTTTGCCCTACAAATGAGCAGCTCCATGGAAAGGAAGTAGTTGTTGAGTGCAAATTTGATGGGGATCGCATCCAGATTCATAAAAACAAAGCAGAGATGCACTTCTTCTCTAGGTGAACTTCCATTGCATTACATATCTTACTATAATTTTTATTTTTTAATCCATCTCTCTTGTTCTGTAGAAGTACCAATTTATCTTTGATGATGCTTCTGCAAATTTTGGTAGAAACTGCATCCATGTAAAGTTTTTTGATCTTAGTTAATGAACACATTGTTTATTTCTGGTACTATTATGCAGAAACTTTTTTGATCATCAAGAGTATGCACATGCAATGTCAGATATCATTGCACAGAATATTCTTGTGGAGAAGTAAGTAATTGGATATTCTGATGTCAAAACCTCTGTGCTCTCTGCCTTCTTTCTAGCTTTTCTGAATCATATTATGATCTAATTGGTATTCCCTCTGTCTTGTTTAATATATCTCATTTCACTTCTTGAGGGACAACCCAACTTAACTCTTACTAACTGTTTAAGATATATTTCTTTAAAATTTTTAGGCTTTGTTTCCTCAGTCAAGTAGTATTTATCACGCTGTTTTCTAATATCTAATTTTATTTCCAATGGTGAATTTATTAGTGACTGTTAGCTGTTATACATATATATTTGGTATGCATGTAGCATGATTTTAGGCTTAGGTAAACTTAAGTCGATATTTAGTCAAATTGGCCAGGAAAATAGTTAACACAAGACATAAATTGGGACAGAGTTATCATCTTTGGTTTGTTATTTTACATCAATTAATTACCATTGAAATGACAATTAGGTTGCTTTTTTTCCTACCTTTGCAACATGGATAAGGACACACATACTGTGTTAGACATTGACACAGATACTAGGACATGCTATCCCCAAAAAGTTTGATGTTATTACCTTTGTTCATATTCTTTGTATCAGATGTATACTTGATGGTGAAATGTTAGTCTGGGACACATCTGCAAATCGTTTTGCAGAGTTCGGTTCAAATCAAGAAATAGGTACATTATCTTTTGCATTTCATTTGTTCTGATAACATTCTTCTGTATTCTTGCTTTCTTTATTAAATTTCTACCTATGCAACAGCAAAGGCTGCAAGGGAAGGACTTGATAGTGACAGGCAGGTTTGTCTTGTAACTATTAATGCATGCTGTATCAGTCTGTAGAAAGTTTTCCAATGCATCTGATTTTTTGTTCTGATTGTGCAGTTATGCTGTATCCTTTTCTATGTTATGTGTTGGCAAGGTTGGTCAAATCAGTCAGCTTTTTCTGCTGGTAGGTTGATGAAAATTTCTTGGTTAGACAGTGTGCTTGTATTTTTGTACTCAACTGCATAGCTGGTCTTTTTGGTGGGTGTTTTCCTTACTAAAAGATGTGAGTAGATGTTGCCTTTGATGTTCTTTATGTTGGAGATACCAGTGTTATTCACCAAAGTTTGAAAGAACGACATGAGCTTCTACGTAAGGTTGTGAAGCCTATTAAAGGTAGCTTGGAGATTTTGGTTCCTAATGGTGGCCTTAATGCTCATCGTGCTCCTGGTAAGCAATTGACTTTGAAGCCAATAGTCTGAAGTTAAAGTCTTATTATTCATTTCACTAGAACTCAAAGATGAACTTATGGAGTATCGTATATTGTACTTGAAGGATGGATGGTGTTTCTAAAAGAAAGATGACAATGATTATTTACATGCATGTATGTTAATATAAAAAAGTAAAAATTATGAATATGCACATAATGTTACTTTTTATATGCTTGCGCACACACACATATGTGTGTGTGTGTGTGTGTGTATATATATATATATATAAATGAATTGAATTTATATTTTCCATTACAAAGAAAACCTGTAAATACTCCTAGAGTATCATGAAATTTGTTGAAATTGAGGGATTGAAAGGCCTGGCGGGTGGAGAATAACAACCACCCGCCAGTTAGGCGGAAGCAAAATATGTGAGAAACCAAAGAAAAAGAGAATAGAAAGAATATATTATAATGAAAGATTACAATAGATTCTCTCTGTGTACTCTATACTTCTATGTATATTAAACTATATACGGATCCTATATTTATAGGAACACAAGGACTAGACCAACCCTAATAGGAATAGGAAACTAAGACCACTCCTACTAGGAATGAGACAAAGGTTTCCTAATATTCAACACAATTAACAAATTAAGTGGAACATGTACGTTAATTGTTAAGCAATAAAAAACGCACCGTCTCACTATGTTTGTCTCCTTTTCTATTTTGTGATGTCCCCGTGAATTTTTTCTTCTTTTAAGCTCACCATTTTAGTATATACATTTTCCTATTTAGCCCTCTATCATGTAGAAGTGACAAAATGACAAATGCACTAGTGCCCCACTTTTCCTCTCAAAGAGTCAAAGGATAAGGGTACGTCACTGATTATCCTTCAAAAACCCTTATTTCCCTAAAATTTCACATAAAAAATGATGACATAAAATTTTTGGAAGGAAGGAGTAGTAAAAGTTGTTTGGATTTGGTATATGAATTAACCAATATCTGAGTGGAGACTTGTCAAACCAAACCATACTTGCTTTTCAAATGGTTTGATTTCCTTAATAGCACCTGTATTTGGTGGATGTCCATAAATATCCAAATTGACCTAGGACTAGTATACAGATTGCATATATGGTATAATAGAAGCCATTATTGAAGATTTCTCGTTGTTATGTACAGATCAAGGATCAATTATTTTAACAACTGATGATTTTAAATATTTATTAGGGATACAAACATTTATGGTATAATAAATATGATCTTTTAATTTCATAGAGGTTAAAATGAAGGCTTTGCCAATGTAATACATTTTTTTTTTTTTTTTTTTCAGTTTCTAAAGAGTTTTTGAGGCTCTATACTGGTAAAATTGCTGCTATTATTTTTCATTGGATAATGCGGTTAAGCTTTGATGTGCCTTAGTATAATAGTTTAATTGATTGATCATGTTTATGAATTAAGATCTCACTTTTGATAGGTTTTGGTTATTGAGAGATTTTTTCTATTGTCGTAAAGTTATACTGTTGAGGTTGCATATGAGTCTTTTTGGTCATTATTCCTTAATCAAAGGTGGGTGCTTATTCTGCGACTTTTGTATGATCAAACAGGAGAGCTATGCTGGTCAGTCGTTGGTCATGGTGTAGATGATGTTGAGAAGTTTTTTAAAGCAACTGTTGAAAACAGGTCTGTTATTCTTTTCCTTAACTTTGATCATGTTTAATGAGTATATTCTTATTGGGTCTCAATATAATGTGTAATGTTGCATTTCAGAAGAGCTTCTGAACATTTGAAGGTCAAAATTCTAGATGTATATTCATTTTTCATTTTTAATCTGATTTGAAGGTGGTGCAAGGCCTGATACAGCTAATATAGTGTGCTTTGTGACTATTAATATGGATTTACATTGTTTAAAATGATCAAGTATTGTGTGAAAAGTCAAAATCTTGTTTGACTTTGATGAAAGACTGTTTTTTCCAATGCATAGAGATGAAGGAATTGTTCTAAAAGACCTTAATTCAAAATGGGAGCCTAGTGACCGGAGTGGAAAGTGGCTAAAGTTGAAACCTGAGTATATTCGGGCTGGCTCTGATTTGGATGTTCTTATCATTGGTGTGAGCTGTATCCACTTTGATCTTTTCTATCAAATCAGTTATTCATAATGCAAGGGTTATATTTAAAATTTTAAATGTACTGTTGGCAGGAGGTTATTATGGATCTGGACGTCATGGTGGGAAGGTATTTGTTCTACCTTCCCTTTGTATTATATCCTATTCATTTTCATTGAAGTTTTCTATGTACTGCTAGGTGGCACAATTTTTGGTGGGTATTTCGGAGCGTCCATCTCCTGGCACATATCCAAGAAGGTAATTGTTTTCATGTATCTTCTGCCATTGAATAGAGTAGTTTTATGCTCCACTTTAATAAAATTGTTTACTGTTGCTGTAACTGGTTTTAGGTCACCATTTACTCCACTTTCATGTATCAGTGGCTAAAGTTGAAACCTGAGCTTTATACTCCACTTTCATGTATCATTGGTTCTGATTTGCAAAGCTTACCATTTCCACCACATGTCCTCTTTGAGTCTGGTGGTATGCGTTGGCCTTGGACTAGGATTGGACATTGAGATAAATGAAATAAAATTAGGAACTATATTTTGTGCATGTTATAGAAAATTTATTCAAAATGTGTTTTGCAAATACTTAAGGTGGTTTGAGGTACTGATGAGGAATAAACTAAGCATTTTATAATAAGGGATGATGTAGATCAAATAAGCCCAATTTGGTTAAAATTCTTTTATTGACAGGATGGATTTTTATTGGTCTATGTTAAGAGTCCCACATTGAAAAAATAAGGGAAAACATATGGGTTTATAAGACCATGTGTTAGACTGGCTAATTGATTGGATCATTGGTCGGTTGAGACCGAATGCCTAATGTGCTCGCCGAACCTACACACTAAGGTGAGTTGACTGAATGCCTAATGTGCTCGCCTCGCCTAAGTGCAGAATACAACCCAACAGGGTTATCTAGGCGACGCCTAGGCGTCCGGTCGGTGAAGACCGAACGCCTAATATGCTCGCCTCGCCTAAGTGTAGAATACAACCCAAAACTCCACAAAACATACATGGGCAGAACCTACACACTAAGGCGAGTTGACCGGTGTAATTTTCAGCCGGAGAGGTCGCCGGAATCTGCCTCACGCGCCGGCGCGTGGTGTCGGAGCAGCGGCACAGCGGCGGCGCGTGGTGGCTCTGATGGCGGCGCGGTTCAAGCTCCGGCGTCGTCCTCCTGTTCCGAGCAAAACCTACTCCCTCACTCTGGCATGTTATCAATATATACTAGACTTCTCACCACCTTAGGAAAAACTATTCATCTTCTCAAGACAGCTTTAAGTAAATAGGGTTGTGAAAAGGCTGCCCAAGACAAGATATTTTCAATATACAATAAATACTAGACTTTTCACTATTCTAGGAAAAACTATTCATCTACTTGAAGTAAATATGCCAGCAAAAAGGCTGCCCAAGACAAGATATTTTCAATATATATATACTTTTTATTTATTTAATACTCATCGCCTAGTCATCGCCTAGGCGGTCGCCTAGTCGACTAGTCGACTAGGCAGTCGGTTGCATCTCGCCTAGAAAGTCCGCCTTGATAACCTTGCAACCCAAAACTCCACAAAACATACATGGGCAGAACCTACACACTAAGGTGAGTTGACCGAACACCTAATGTGCTCGCCTTGCCCAAGTGCATAATACAACCCAAAACTCCACAAAACATAAATGGGCAGAACCTACACACTAAGGCGAGTTGACCGGTGTAATTTCCAGCCTGAGAAGTCGCCAGAATCTGCCTCGCGCTGGCGTGTCGAGTCGGAGCAGCGGTGCGTGGAGGCTCCGATGGCGGCGTAGTTCGAGCTCTGGCGTTGTCCTTCTGTTGCCAGCCTGAGAAGTCGCCAGAATCTGCCTCACGCGCCGGTGCGTGGAGGCTCCGATGGCGGCGCAGTTCAAGCTCCGGCGTCGTCCTTTTGTTGCGAGGATATATATACAACCATATATATATATATAGGCATAAAGAAAAGCTTTTGAAAGGGCAAAATAAATGCTGAAAGTCCGCCTTGATAAGCTTGGATTGGATTCAATCTTTTAGTGTGGTTTGACCAATGTGCATTATAGCCCAATTGAGTGACCTTGGCCCAATCTTAGATTGTAACAGTCTAAGAATTAATTATTGGGCAAAGGGGGTGATTCCTTTTTGTGGTCAAGTTCACTAGGTGGATTTGTATCAAGGGGAGACAAGAATAATGCTCTCTTTAGCAGATTTCTTGGATAGACTGAAACTTGTATAGATTTTTTCTCATGGTAATGCTGTATAGTGGCATGATTCTGATGTTTTATGTGTTAAAGTGTAATTTCTTTGATTTTATCACTTTTGCAGATTCATTTCTTTCTGCAGAGTGGGCACGGGACTCTCTGATGAAGAGCTTGATGCTGTTGTGACTAGATTAAAACCATATTTCAGGTCATGCTTTATCAATGTCACTCCAACTTTTAGATACAGAGTGCTGTTGCTTCCACAGTTTTCCCATAAAAATTGTTTCCAAGTGGATCTGTGGTTTTGCACCAAATTTAATTTCCATTTTCGAAACCATGTTGATTGATGAGCTTCACTAGTTTTATTTTCTTATACAGAGTACCTATTATTACAAGTTATTCCTAGTGTGGTGACAATAAACTCATACCTGGTTCTTGGTTTACATTGATAGCATTAAAATTGAGAATTTAATAGTTTGTTTTTATTTTCTTGTTTGCACCTTGTGTCTTTATTTTCCATAAGGCTTCTGCAACTATTTTTTACAGGAAATATGAATACCCAAAGCAGACACCACCTAGCTTCTATCAAGTAACAAACAGTTCAAAAGAAAGACCAGATGTCTGGGTGGAGAGCCCAGAAAAGTACATCACTAGCTCTTCTAGAATATCCGACGTTTGCTCTACTGTTAAATGAAAATATTACTTATTTGGTTTCTTTCAACTACTTGCAGATCAATAATTGTTTCTATCACCAGTGATATTCGAACAATAAGATCTGAGGTATGTTTTTTTAGGATACTTCACCTTCTTTCACTTTTCAGGTTGCATTTCAGTTGTTACTTGCGTTCAATGTCTGATTTACTTCAGGCATATTGTGAACATAGTTCCTTATCTCTTCTCTTAGTTGGCTGAGACAGAAGCATGCAGTATTTGTATTTGCCAATCTCATCCGGTAAAAGCTAATGGGATGTTTGCTCAATCATACTGTTTCATTTATTAAAAACATAATCTTGCAGGTGTTTGCTGCACCATACAGCTTGAGATTTCCACGTATTGACCGGGTTAGATATGACAAGCCTTGGCATGAGTGTCTTGATGTGCAAAGTTAGTATCATATTTCATGTTTCTTGTTCTAATAGTTTGTTTCCTGTGATTCTTCTGCCTTTCCCTAGAGAATAAAGTTTGCTGTAGATTTTCTACTTGGTGCTTGTTTGGCCCGGCTTCTGTTTTTGTAGTAGATATAAGCCGCACAAAGAGCTTGGCTAAACTAGCGCTTAGTAGTTAATAATGTGCATTTGTTTCATTGTTTGCTGAACTCCATTTTCGAGATGAACTATCCTTCTGTCACAGCTTTTGTTGAATTGGTACATTCAAGCAATGGTACCACTCAAAGAGGGGCATACTCCGGAAGGGTGAAGGATCATGAACCAAAGCATATCAAGTCTAAGAGCCGTGAGAGGAAGAATGCATTAGTTGTTCCTTCTCATTTCATACAGACAGATGTCTCTCATATTAAGGGTGAAACATCAATATTTTCAAACATGGTATTTTGTATCCAAAGACTACCATTCCAGGTGTACAATTCAATTTTCTTAATAAAAACTAAACTTAAATCAGGTACTGACTAGTGTGAAATTTTATTCTCATAAATTTCTGGTGGGATTAATTGACCAACCAGGTTTTTTAATTTCTTCTCTTTTTATTAAGATGTGATCTCAACAATATTGTTGGGGTCAATTGGTGAGAATACCCCTCACACGTGTCCCCTGTTTTTATATAAATGTCCCTCACTGTTATAATTATCTTACATTTGAGTTACTCAAATATGGGTATGCATTGTTTAGTATAGCATTTCTCTGCTGTTCTTAGTTTATTCTCTCTCACCTAACTGGTGGCTGAAGAACACCCATCAGATCATATTACTTTGTAGGTTGCTAAGTGAGAGCTAATAATTGCAGGACATTGCGATGAGACGATTATGTGCTTGTACATTTTTGTTAAATATCTACAGTTTACGAAACCAAAAATAAATAGTGTATATTTGAACCCACTACACTGAATTTCTTGCTTCACCATTGTGTTCAACTCCTAATTTTTGCGTGCAGTTTGTCATTTCCATCTCCTTCCTGTTTGTTCTCAAGTGAATTTGTAGAACAATTTCACATGCTATGAAGTGTCTTTTTTCAGAAAAGGTAGTAAATGTAGATTGATGTGCTGATTGTTATTTCAGTTCTGATCTTAATTATGAAACTTGAATTATCAGTTTATCCTTGACATATATAGACTTTGCTAATGTGCCTTCATCACATACTCTGGATTCCTTGCACAAAATGGTTGTTGAACATGGGGGCACTTTCTCAATGAATTTGAATAATTCAGTCACTCATTGCATTGCAGCTGAAAGTAGAGGTCAGACTCTCTCACAATCTCCCTCATCTAAGTGCATTTCAGTGATTCCTATTGAGAGATTGATGGAAAGAAGTTTCCTTGCAGGGATCAAGTTTCAGGCTGCAAAGCTTCGGGGAGATGTTGTTAATTGCTCTTGGCTCTTTGACTGTTGTTCACAAAAAAGGCTCCTTCCTCTACATCCAAAGTTAGTTTGCTTTGCTTTATCAATGTTTTTCTCCCCATGCCCCATGCCGCCTTCTCTCTTCCCAGGGTGTCTTGTGTGTGTGTGTGTGTGCGTGTGTTTTTTTTTTTTTTTTTTTCCTTTGGTTCTAGCCTGTCCTCTTTCTTTTTTTATTTTTTTATTTTTTTTATTTTTTTATTATTATTTTAAATAAATAAATATTGTGCTCCCATACATAGTTTAACATTCTTTAACTTCCATTTTACTTTTGCCTGAAGGTACTTCCTTTTCCTTTCTGACGCAACAAAGAAAAAGTTACAAGAAGAAGTTGATGAGTTCTCTGATTCTTACTACAGTAACCTCAATATTGATGATTTTAAACAGGTAGCCTTGAGTAACAGCTAATTCAGTTAGGTTTTCTAAAGAGGAGAAATAAATGAAGCATAAATGTCTAGTAGCATTAAGTGGAAATGTTCCAAGTTACACTTGGACTCTTCATTGGTTTTTGATCATCAAAGTACTTCTATTTCAAGCTTGGATACTGATTCCTCTGGTATTTTCTGATCTCTTCCATCTTCCTTTCTTCTGACAGCTCTTGAGCAGCATATGTCGATCTGAAAAGTCTAAAACTGTTGAATACTATAAGAAGAAATATTGTCCAAAGGATAAATGGTGTTGTTTTCATTATTGCAGCATTCACTTTTTCCTTCATATGCACTCTTCGTAAGGAGCACTCTCTTTTTTTGAATCAGCTTGTTTGGATTAGGTTTCTCTTGATAGAGATGTGATATTTCTTTTATATGTTTTAGAAAAAGTTTGGATCAGAAGGTTTTATTGGAGCTTGCAATGAGGAGATTGAAGCTTGAAGTTTCCATGGGAGGTGGCAAAGTTTCCGATGATCTTTTCCATGCTACCCATCTGGTTATCATTTCCCTTCCAGAATTCTGTGTGGACTTTGACACATTGTTGAGGAGGTGAGCAACAAATATGAATTAAATGTACTGATGTAATAATTCAATCTGTCTTATACTAATGTAATCATCTTCATGTGCTGCTTACTAAGGACACACATGAAGTATATCTATCATGATTCTGTTTTGGACTTCTAAGGTTTGCCTTTGTCTGCTTTGTGCATTTAATATTTGCTGGATGAAAATTTTCATATATCTAAAATAGAGAGTTCACAAGCATTCTGAGTAAAATGGGTAACCTTTCCTTTATGTTAATAAATAATGAGTTGGATAGTCCTCAACACTAAGAAGAAATCTATATGCATTAAGCACCTAATAGAATAATAGGAGAGAGAAGAAACATGACTAGATAGATTGCATGATAACTTGGTTAACTTCATTTGATAGTTTGCATATATTATAGGCTATGAAATACATAATTGAGTCACAGGCCATTCTACAAACTGCGATAGGTGTGAGAGTAGGACTCTTCAAGAAACGCTTTAGTAAGATATGTTCATAATTATGCAATTTTTTCAGCTTTTCTGTATCAGAGGGGCGTGTTATGTGCAGTAACAAACTGCATGTAGTGGGGTCACAATGGTTAGAAGATTGTTTTGAGAAAAACCAGAAGTTGCCTGAGGGTAGTTATAGTCTGAAGCCCAAGAATTTTGAAGCATCTGCCATTAAAGAGAGGTAATTGTAGTTAAAATGTTATCATTCATTACTTTTTACTTGATATTTGGCTTCTGTGATGAACCAGAATGCTAAAAAATGGGTCATTGTTCCTACTTCCTATACCAAAATTTTCATTTTGCTTTTCAAATACAATTTTTTTTTTTTTCCTTCTGTAAGCTTGGTGATCATGTATGTGAAGAGTTAAGTCATAGTGTTGCAGTCTTTAGGTTTATTTACGCACCTTGCCTCGTCTTTCTTTATTTACCAATACATGATTTATTGTGTTATCTCCTAATACATTGCTTGAAATTTATGCAATTTTTCCTGTTGCTATCTGCATATATAGTTTGTTGGAATTAGCATTGTCTTCTTGTCTCTCCTGTAGTGAAAGTGAGTCCATGGTTGAAGACCATATGGGCAAGCATGTTATACCATCTTCCACAGCTAAAAATGTGGGAACGGAAAAAGAAGTGGCTTTGGAGGAGTCGACTGTGAACATGTTGCCTAAGAGGGATGGCAAAAGAAAACGGAGAGCTAGTGGTAGAAGCACAACTAGAGGTAGAGGGAAAGCAAGCATCATCAAACAGCCACGAAGAACAAAGTTTGGAAGCAAACCAGCTAGGATAGATGAGAATGAATCAAGTGAAAGTGATGGTTCACGGGGAATTAGGCAAAATAAATTTGGGGGGAGTGATAATGAAGAAAACTTTGAATTCAAGAGATGGAATGGTGAAAATATAAGCAATCATGATCCAGAAATCCCAGTGGAATATGTAATTGAAGATTCAAAGCCGCTGACGGAAGGCAAAGAAATTGTTGAAGAGTGTATAGACAAGAATGGTGTTGGAGGAGAATGGAATGCTAGCAAAACCTTATCTCAAAACCCTCTCGATCCAGTCCAATCAATTTTATTGAATATGATACCAAGCCTTGAGAAGACATCCAGCAGCACCAGCACCAGCATGGATATGGGTCTTGAGCAAGAAAAGCCGCCACCACCTTTAGATCTCACACCAAATCCAATAAAGAAGAAGAAAGTGAGCTACAAGGATGCAGTAGCTGCATTGCTCAAGGATTAGTGAATGTCAGTGCTCTGACTTGTTGACCTCATGTCTTATTATGCTTTTAACAAATGCCATGGATATAATTTCCTTCCTGTTGTAACTATATGTTAATGTATATATACACACATTAGCCATGATATTACTAGTTTGGACTGTTGAGAGTAGTGTTGAAATTTGTATTCTCTTTATTATTATTATTTTTAATTTTTTATTTTTTTTTTTTGATATGTAGGTTCTTTTGTTGGCTGGCAATGATAATAGTGTTGTGGGTTGTGATAGGTTGGAGTTAATAAAAGTTGATAAGTCGCATGTTACGTCCTTGCATCCTTAAAATAAGGTCTCTTTAGCCAACTATGCTAAGAGTTTTGGGTTGGTTCAATTTTAATTGAGTTATTATTGTTGTCTATTAAGTTGATTCAAAATGCATTTAGGGACATTTAATAACAGGAGAAATGAATCAAAGGACAATACTTGAAACTGGTAAACTTTCATTCATTTGAATACGGTGCATATCACACTAAGCTACAAACTAACACCAGAAAATTATATATAAACATAAAAGTAGAGAGAGAGAGAGATAGAACCGTTATTTTTTGATTTTGATTAAAAAAAGAAAAGAAAAGAAAATAATTATTCTAGAATCTAGAACCCCATTGGACTATCCGGATCGTTGAGAGTTGCAATGGCAGTTTCAATCCTAATTTTCAAGAGATCCTTCTCTTCCTCTTCAGCCTGCAAACGAATTAAAAACCCCTACTATTATATTGATTTAACAACTCAACGCAACGCATCTTTTGATTTTAAAGAAAAATGAAAAAAGTAAGAAAACTTGTAACTTTTTTATATCTCACACTGGATTCTACACCTGTAATAATTGCCCATAAAATATGGGAAAAAAACATATTCTGAGTGCATGATTATCTTTATTTATAAGGTGGGACCCCCAGCCCGTAGTAGTAGTGCACCTGTCATCATTTCTTTATATCTAACCCATCCAAAAATCTCTCAAGTCTCAACCGCAAAATTAAATACAATCCAATACTCTATATATATATATATATTCACTATTTGATGTAACATTAATTAGAAAAGAAATTCTTTTATTGGTACAGGTAAATAGGACGAATTCATCACGAGTTAGCAACTAATTTTATTTAATAGTTAAATATAAAATTTATTTTTTTAAAAAAAATTTACTTTTTTAAATGACAAAGGAAATTCGTAGTCAATATATCATGCATTAAGTAAATCCGACAAAAGATCACAAAGAGAAAAGTCAGTTTAAGTTGTCAATAATTGATTGTTATTACGTATTAGTAGGACAAACTTGGGTGGTGTTGCTTTGAAAAAAAAAAAAAAGAAAAAGAAAATTATGAGGTGTTGGGTTGTTGTATGTGTTTGTGTGGATGGATGCATCCTTGATTTCCATCCACAAACAGCCAAAATATTCCACCCTGTGAAGCGGAGCGTTAGGAACACGCTCCACCTCCCAATCTCCCATCCTAATTTGTGAATTAATTATTCGAAAAAGAAAAAGGAAAGAAAGAAAGAATGAATTAGGGATTAGACGACCTCAATAAAAACAGTCTTGAGAAGCCTCCCAGAGAAAGCAGTGATGTTTGCACTTATGATTTTGATATCCAAAGACTCAAAAATCTCGCACAGCTTCATCATAGTGTCCGTTCTTTTGCTGCATGTCAGGCTCACCACTACTGTTTTCTTCCCCATTGACGACACTCTCAGCTGCGCGCCAATTAATTCATTCATTTAATTTCCCAATATAATTATATTTTTAGTTAGAAATATAAATAAATGGAGTAATATATATATATATATATATATATATATATATATATATATATATATATATATATATATATATATTAATATATATATTAATATAGAAAGGCAAATAAAATAAAAGCAATTAAGGAGGTGCCGGGGCGGGCTGACCTCAAGAACATCAACCGGAGATGTTGATCCGGGAGGAGGGGATTCATCATATCCCCCAGCCCCAGGGGCAGGAAGCTGGTCATCAACAAGTCTTGTCCTCTTTGGCTTTGAGTTAGAGCTGATTCCTTCTTGATCAAATTCAAATATCCCATTATTATTCTTGGATCTGGCGCCACCGTTACCCGATTCCAGCTCCCATATTTCTGCTTGAATTATTCGCTCTTGTTCCCTCAATTCTTGGATGTACTCTATTGCGTCTTTGATTATGGAAGCTTTGTCCATCTGTTTTCATTTTCATTTTAATTAATCACATCATATCAGAGTAGCTACAATAAATAAATAAATTAATTAATTAAATTTGAGAGTACATACATATAAGCATAACTCTTATATAATATATATAGATATACAAATAATATAGTTGAACCGTACCACTATTTTTTATAAATAAATAAATTATTACTCCCTGTCAGGCTGTCCCTCCCTCCCAACTAACCCTTCTCTACTCAACCAACCAACCTTGCTAATCTTGGGAACCACTGCCCTGAGTGCAAACAGTCTCTCGTTGAGCTTCTTCCTCCTATTCCTCTCGGAAACTATGTTCTTGGATGCCGCCGATGATTGAGACCCATCCGGCGAGCTCGAATCGTAATACGCCGAAATCGCCTCCTCGAAGTAGCTGCGGATCGGACACCCAGGCCAGCCACACACAATTAATTAATTAATTAAACAAATTAAATCAAGTTGAAAGGAAGCTAGGAAGATAATTATACCTGTCGAGTTCCTCGGATTGAAGGAAGGTTTGAGTTTCCCAGTAGTGTTTGTACTCATCGCCAATGTTTTCCATTATATTGATTTGGAATTTGTAAGCTAGCTAGCTAGCTAGCTAAGTGGTGAAGGTGAAGTGAGAAGGAAGTGGATTATATATATTTGATCTCACTTCAACTCTGAGCGATCGATCAAGGCAGGGGAGAATGAACTGGGGAAGAGGGGATTATATATATATATATATTCTTTTCTTAGAGGACACACTCAGATCACACACTAACTAATGTTAATACATTATACATATATCAATGGCCTTATTTATATTGCCCCCACCCCTTCCCTTCATCTCCACTCTCTATTTCCATTCTATTACTTTTAGCGCCCCTGCCCACTGCCCACTGCCCACTGCCCGCTGCCCGCCTTATTTCTTTATTAATCACTCTTTCACTATTATAATACCAACCAACTTTTGCGATACTCTCTCTCTCTCTCCCCCCCCTCTCTCTCTCTATATATATATATAATATTCAATTTTAGGATATGTTTAGAAATTCGAAAAATAATTTTTGAAAATTATTTTTTGAATTTTTCGTGTTTGGATGTACATGAAAAATCCATGAAAAATATTTTTCATTGACTAAAGAAAATAAGGTATTTTTGTGAAAAATGACTTTCAACAAAATTTGACGAAAAATGACTAAGGTCACAACAAATAAACCAATCATATGGGACAAAAGTATGCTACAAACAAATTTGGAAACTAGTATATATGTAAATTAGCTGTTATTATTCCATGCATGATGATTAGTGTTTATATATTTAGTAATTCTAATATATACTACCAAATAATAAGTGTACAAGTTTAATTTAAGCTTTGTGAGCAAATGTGTCAAGTAATTTGAGATTTTTTATTTTTTTTAGTCATGCAAGGTATTTCGGAGCTCAAAAGAGGGTATAGTATTTCTACATATAATAAGGAAATTTAATGATTTTAGCTAAGTCAATACAAACTAAATGCATGAAAATGATAGCTAATATCTATTGATTTTTAGTTGTTGATCATGTTTAGATGGATGTACCAGATGATTCCTCATCACGTCTTCACCTAGGAAGCTTGTCATATATATATATATATATATATATATATATATATATATATATATATATCCTGTGCAAAGAAGGCCACATGTGCAAAAGTAAGGAGAAATTTGAGCCTTTGATGATCTGCCAAAATCAACGGCTCTAAATAAAGAAAGCTTCTAATCTACAAGATATATACTCGTCATATTCTCCAATAAACCATCTCTGACGGTCTTTGCATTTTGTTCAAATCATGGAAGACACAAAATTGTCTTTTGGAAGGTCCAACAATGTACACGAGAAAGCACAACAATGTGCTCTAGAAGGATCAACAATATATACTTTAAGGCAAAACAATATATATGATATTCGAAGACACAACAATGTGCTTTGGAAGGCTCAACAATGTGTTCTAGAAGACTCATCAATGTGTTCGATTTGAAAGGCACATCAGTGTGCTGTGTGCTCTGAAAACACAACATTGTGCTCTGCAAGAAGGAAAAAAATGTTCTAAAAGGACAAAAAAAAAAAAAACTTATTATTTACACAAAATTACCATAATCCAATGCATTTTTGTTTTAAATAGTTTCATTCTAGATCCATGATTTGGCATGAATTAATGGATGAGATTAAACTCTAATTTTCATCCGTTATAAGGTAATGATTTTTTTCTTAATTTAATATGTTGTAATTTGTCGTTGCCATCAGCTCAGAATTGAGAATACTGTATAGTACTATATGTCTATGTCCCAATTCAAGCCATCATATCTCGTTGCCATTCGCTAGTATTTCTCTAATCTCTAAGACCTGCTAATGTGAAACATGACATCCACTCATCCAACCACGTTCCAAACTATTCTGAATTCTGATGTTGTAACTTTTTTTTTTTGAATGTTACTAGCTCTATTACATTGTAGTATCTGTTCATATACTTTCTCAACCTACATTGTAGCTCTATTTTGATGTTGTAACTTGTAAGCACTGTACTGTACGTAGAAGTTATCTTTCCTAAATGGCATACTTCTTTTCCCATAGGTCATAATACCCTGGCCTTATGGAAATATGGAATGCGTCTTTAGATTAATCCTGTTTTTAATTATTATAGTCAAGAGTTAGTCACATCTGCATTGGATTAAGGCTCTGTTTGGTAAAATGGCTGTTAGCTGATTCTGTTAATTAGAGTGTATAAATAGTTGATAACATTAGTTGATTGTAGAAAAGTGTTTGGTAAATTAGCTGTTAGCTGATAGCTGTTTGGTGTAATTCTTTTCTCAAAAAGCTAATTGAAAAAGTTGCTTGGAGTAGCCTTTTGAATTTTAGCCTTTTGGAGTTGCAAAAAGCTAATTAACCAAACATTTATATTGATATTTTAACTAAA